GGAATAAAGCTGAAACACTTCTTGGGGTTTCTGCAAGTAAGACGTTTTGTAAAATCACTTAAATTTCCAGCCAGTCAACCTGTTTTGAATCCTCTTGAAAGCTTTCTCCTTAAATTTAATGAGGAAATAATCACAAAAAAGAAATGTACCTCTTTTTGTTAAAGGGAAATTATTATCTCCGAATTTTGTAACCACCGATAAGGCCAGGGCTCGATGGGAAACCGACATTGAAGTTGAGCTTAGTACAGAAGCATAGTCTAAAACTTTTAGATCTGCCAAGAAAATGTTTTCCTGTAACCAACTGCAGGAACGCCATTACAGAATCGTACATAGACTGCAGCTTACCCCAGAGCTTTTAAATAAAATTCATTATTTGTATTGGGCTGTGCTGATTTGTTGCTGTTTGTATTGTTTCCAAAAAGTCAATAAATCATTGTTTAAAAAACGAAGACAGAGAGAAGCCTGATTATGAAACATTAAATAATGATATGTAGATCTGTAGGACTCCTCCCTCGCCTGTCTATGTGTGTGTCCACTACTGACACAGTCACACAGGCCTAGAGTCAGTGAACCCTCTGGAACTTCTGGTTGTTATGGAAAATGACATATTTGTTGACCTCTGTTACAAAGAAGCTGCTGCATGAAAAACCTCAAACTGCAACTTTTACTTTCACACCTTTCACAGTTTCACTTCACAAACAGAACAAAATAGAGATTTTAGAAGCATTTCACAGAACTTTTAATGGCACACTGTGAAAGAAAGTAACAAATATGTGGGATATTAGAATATTCTTTACAAACATGTAACTTTAATTTGCAGCATTACAGATTTCCTGATACTAAGAAGGTAAACTACAAGGTCATGGTAGTGGTCAAAAGATCAAGTACTATAATATCATGACTTTTGAAATTTGGCAGTTATGTTTCCTACCTAATACAATTTCATCCAAAGGTGTGAATGTGCGAGCGAGGAATGCCCAGACCTCTACATTGGAGAGACCAAACAGCCACTTCACAAGCGCATGGCACAACA